GAAAAGAAGGAAGGAAAATGTATTGGAAGGCAAAAATAAAAAGCTTTAAAAAGTCAGTGGATATTATGAGAAAACAAGTGTGTGCATCCAGTAAGACAGCACAGAAACCAAGAATAATGTGCCCTCCCCTCAGAAGATTCAGTCCAGCAACACACAAACTGAAGGTTTATTTGGACAACATCAAACCCATTTTTCACATCTACAATAAATATACAGGGCAGACAGAAAAACAAATGAATGTCTAAAGGTCATTATCAATCAGGACTAGTGTGGGACAGGGCAATAAGCCGAGTGGACAGCCCAGGGCAAGCCCATCACATACAGAAATGTAATATATTACAAAGGAAGCCACATACAGCAGTGGAGAAAGAAAGGTCAGTAAGTGAATGGTGTGAATACAGGTGTTAGACGTTTAAGGGAAAATCCGTTTATATCCTCTTATCACACCATACCTCAAAACAAATCCAGAGGGATCAAAAAGACTTTAATTTTTGTTTCAAACTTGGGCCATTAAAGAATAAATGGGAAAGAGATGGAATCACAAAAGAGTTACAGGATTTATAGACTGGACTTACTGTGCAAATTTTAAGGTTGCATATAAAATACAGCCCAAATGAAAAGGGAAAGAATAAACAGGATAAATTATTTATAATTAATGACACCAAAGAGTTAACGTCATTAATATACAAAGAGTTCACAAAATATGACAAGGAATACAAGACCTCAACAGATAAATAGGCAAAAGAATTTAAATACAAAAATGTTCAATTTCACTATCATTCACTACTAATTGACATTAATTTCTTTATCAAGAAATTCAGATGGATAAAATGAGATATTATTTTTATGCTAATTCAGGTTCAGTGAAATGAGTATTTCATATACACTGTTGATGTGAGTTACATGTCTTAAAACCTTTTTTGGAAAACAATTCAATGTGAGCAATTACCTCAAAATGTTCAATCATGCTGATCTAGTATTTCACTACTAGAAATCTATCCCCCCAAAAGTCTAAACTACAGGTGGGAATACGCCACCAAAAAAGATATGTGCTCTATACCTCTAGTGGCAAAAAAATTAAAAATTTCCCAAATATACAATAAGAAGTCATTAAAATTATAACATACCACTTTGATTAAGTGTTACGTATTTTTTAATGTCACTTACAAAAGTTTTATAGGAACATGGAAAAATGCTTGTTATAATATGAAGCTGAAAATGCAATACTCAAATAGGTATATAATATGATATGTATATTTTAATATTTTAATAAGCATGTAATGAGAAGAGTGGTAGAAATACACCAGTATGTTCAACAGTGAAAATCTCTGAGTGGCAACAATGCTTCTTTTCCTTTCTTCTCCATGTTTCCTAAATTGTCTCCACTATTTCTGCAGATACAGCACAGCCAAGTGTTCATGGCCTCCAGCTCTGCCCCTTACCAGTCATGTAAGCTCAGAAAATAACCCCAAGGATGTTCTACTTCTGAAAAATTGGGACAATAATATCACTCATTTCACATGGTGGTTGTGAGGACTAAATGAGATAATGTATATAAAGTACCTAACAACATACACCCCCCCTCAGATTTAGCCATCTTGGTAAAAAAAAATCCTTTCAAGTGACAAGTTGAACAGATAGATGGTTAGCACACTTCATCACTCACATTCAGTAATTAGAAGTGATATCATGGTGTCTAGGAAATAATTGATGTCAGAGTGGGAGAAAAAGCAGATGACAATAAAAGCTACTATTTAACATTGACAAATTATATTCTCTTCTGAAAAAGCAGCAGAATTTTATACCAACCTACCAAAAGTTATTTGGGAATCTGTGAAATTGATATTAGAGGGCTAAGTGTTCAAATGATAATTAATTTTATGTAAATCCACTGAGTGGCAACATAATGTAAGACACATAAATGTATGACAAGAAAAAATGAAAGATACTGTCCAGCCCACACAGTAGATGAAGACATCAGGGTTCACATTGGTCTTAGAGTTCACTTTAATCCACCTTTGAACATTTAGGATTTAGTCTTTACTTCCAGAATAAAGACAGCTATATAAGTCAATACCTTTTCCCTACTTCCTAGAAATTAAGGGGGTGGGGATGAAAAGGCAAGCATGAATGCCTTCTTCTACTAAATTAGGAGATGAAAGTGACATCCAGACAAGGGCTGACAAGGGCAGCCGAAATGGGCAGGAGCTGTGCAGAAGAAAGCACAGAGGACATGCACCTGCCACTGGTCCAGAGAACTGGACAGGTATTAAGAAGCAGGGGACCCACCTAATTGAAAGTGAGCCTGGTCAGCAACAACGGATGCTAGAATCTCAATGACAAAAGCGGGTAGCAAAAGTCCGGGCATATGGAGAGGGGGACCTGATCAGCGGAAGGTTGAAGAAGTGCCTCTGGCGCCCAGGTGAGGCTGAAAACCACCCATTTTCCAAAGCAAAAGAGTCTTCAGGATTTCTGGGCAGTTTCTGAGTGGTAGAGATAGGCTCTGACATGTTGGCATTTCTGGGACACTGTGATGGATCGAGGAGAGAAGGTCCCACGTGTATTTAGGGATCTGGGACTCTCTCCCCAAATTCAGAACATGTGATCACTGAAATGGCATTAGAATGGCCAGCCACACTCGGAGCATTTCATTCCAAGAAAAATGTTTTTGTCTGTAATTTGATTTGTATGCATCACGGGGTTGGAAAGGTGTTAGTTGCTGAAAACATACGCTATGCAGCCAGATAGGCTTCCCTTTATAACTAAGATGCCACGGAACACAGAGGCCAAAACTAAATCCCATTTACGGTAACTGGCACACCGGGGGGCTGGGGACATCTCCCGTTCTTCACCTTGATTGATTCATTGCCCACCAGGCTTAATCTTATACATTACTTTCAAAGGCATGACTTATACCCTGAATTCATTTCTTTTTTTTTTTAACATTTTTTATTGATTCATAATCATTTTACAGTGTTGTGTCAAATTCCAGTGTTCAGCACAATTTTTCAGTCATTCATGGACATATACACACTCATTGTCACATTTTTTTTCTCTGTGATTTATCATAACATTTGTGAATTCATTTCTTTTTTCTTAGATTAGCATCAATCTTGCTTATCAACTGACATCTTCTCAAATTCCCTGGAGATGTCCACCTCGCCGTCAGAGCAAAGGTGTAAGTTAACCTAAAGCAGCGGCCCTGGTGAGCTCTAGTGGAACCTCTCCCCTGCTCCGTTTTGGGGCACTAAGAATCTGAATCCACAAAGTGTGACAAGGACACACTCTGTGACTCGATTTGGGCCCTTTGCCTTGGTGTCCACCTGACCCCCCTCTGGCCTGGGAAGGCAAGTGTCTCCTACTCAGTCCCAGGGCTCTTCTCCCTGGAGCCTTTGCAACTCTTATGTAAACACAGGAAGCTTGCAAGCACATGCACACTGCAGCATCTCCCCAACCCCCAAAAGAGTAGTCCCCGCCTTGTACTGCAGCTAGAAATTTTTCTCTGTTACTAAAAATGAGCAGGAAGATGGAGGTAGAGATGGGCTCCCTCAGACTTCTAACTACCCCTCGTGTTGCTGTAATGGGGAAGAACAAATCTGACTCC